CACATACTGTATGCAGAAGTATTATTTTAAGCAACACATTAAGTTGACGAAACACTCGAGTCAAATGTAATGAAAGTCAGATCCACTCGTGTCTTAGGCAGTGATATCATAAACCTGTTAATGTACGCATTCAAACACTTTTTCTTTTACCAGCTGTATTCACCTTGCAGGTGCAGCTATGTGGCTTTGATCCTGGATAAAGTGTTTAAGTCATGTTTAAAGTTTAACTTCTTCATATGTCTAATATTATAGTTGACTTTTCATTCAGGAAGTATGACGCTGCGCTGTCAGTACGCTTCTCCATGTTTTTGATTGGTCGAATGCTCCAAATACCACCCCTTTCATGTGAACGCGCACCTAACTAGATAGGGCACGGTTGGCTTGAGCGATCCACTCGATAACCCGCGTCGTAGTACCGTTTAGCGAGAGCGCGTATGTTTTGGATTAGGCCAACCGGCTAACTCAAACATATCCAGGTTAGGTTGAACCAGCTTCGTAGTACAGGCCTCTGTTCATAGACTCATATTAAATCAATCATTCCATTGTAATTTTGGAACATCTTGTCAGATACAAGGTCTCCACACTATCACACAAGCTATTCAAGGAAAGGAATAGTATGAACCGGAGAAATGTAACATTGTGATGACCTTGAATGACTTCAGTTACAGTGAACGAAGACCACAAGCAGCGAGGTCTTATATTTGATGTGTCAGGGAATAATCCATCTGCTAGGCTAGCCATAACAGTTGACAACAGAATCTCCAAAACATGCATGACATAACATCCTCCCACAATACTGGCTAGAAATATGGTCAGAAATCTACACAAAAATGTTTCTATTGTGGGCACTTTAAAGTCTGCTCAACTGGGATCAATTATCCAAGCCTGTGTTGTTAGCAAACAAACTAAACTACATTAAAGTGTGGTATAATTTGATTTACAGTTTTAAAAAAAGACACTATTGAAAATTCCATTTCATAATATTTATTTTTAGCGATTTTCATTCCTTGGCAAAGACGGTTCATTTAAAATGAGTGACTAAATACCTGGAAACTGTTTATTTGACTACCATGTTGCAAAACCACTCAGCTGATCTGGCATATTGCTACTAGGAAAATCAGGACATATGATGATATCTACAATGCCAAATAAACCTATTCTTTATCATCACTGGCCTTAGCAACCGTGCAATCACAGAACAATATTATATCCTATCAGTCTGTTAACTAACAGAGCAAACTGTTATGCCAAGGGTAAAGATGAGACAAGGCATAAAGCAGGGAAAGCTCTTGCAGAAGTCTCGGGGGGGCTGAGCTGCGCGGCACAACAACCCCTGTACTCATAGGTGAGATATGCTAATGAGACCTGTGGCTTTATGAGTCACTCATTAGGACGGCAGGCCCTCTCGGCCCCAGAGAACCAACACTTTCCCCTGCATGTGGTGCAGTTGTATCTAAGATAGCACCCGAAGGACCTGCTGTCAACTGGGGGTAATCAGTGTGTTCATATACAAACTTTCCGAACTGCAAAGGTCCACAGCAGTGGCGGCTTGATATATTTGTATGGACTTTGCACATTTTGGTAGTAATTTCCTAACTTTTTTTTAAATAGATGACACAAAAAAATTGTGATTCTTAATTATTACCTTGTTTGAGAGTCCTTAAAGACAGTCGTAAAAAGTACTTTAATTTAAAGAGACTGGAGATAGCACATCAAAAATCTTGCAGGTTACCGTCTTTTAAACAACACACCACTACGTTTAAACAGTGATAAGGTTTTAAATTGTATGCTGTGTTTATGTTGTTTTATGCTTTATTATTAGTCTGTATTTCAAATTCCTCTATAATAATATGGTTTTAATCTATGTATCTTTAAGAAATATTGTGACCAGCCTGCTATTGGCCAAAGTCACACCAGCTACTCTCAAAATAGCATCATGATGCATTTTGCATTTAAAATAGGTCATAAAGTGCTAAAATTAGGTCAGGAGCCGGTCTAGGGCAATTACGCTTCTTTGGTGTTTACTGACTAATTATATTGGTATGCCTTCATTAACACAAAACAACGGTAGGAGCTTTATTAACAAAGGTGGAATGTAGGAGGTCCCCTGAGTGAAGGAAGACATCTGAAACAAGTCAGGACAAGGGGATACGGAGCTCAGGTGTAAGCAGGCCAGGTAATTGCACCAAACACACAAAGAACGATGGCCTCACAGCAGTGGCTTGCTCTACTTAACATTCCAAACCGATACTACCACTCCCCTCCTTGTCCACAAGCATTTGTCATGTACCCGCATCACTTGCTGGAACATAGGGCCTTAAATTAAAATCCTTTCTATTTGTATAACGGGGCAAATTTCACTTAAAGTCATTTAAATTCTGTCCCAAAGGTGTTATAGAAATGTTATCTTATATTTGGACAATTCATTTTCAGAAATAGACAAAACAGGGTACTTGTGGGTTATCTGTTGCCACTTTTTAAACGGCCTAACCTAACCCTCTCAAATATTCATTTGGGGTATTTAGAGAGTCTGAAAAAAAAAAAAAAAAAAAGTGCTTATTTAGAGTCTGAAAAAGCAAAAAGTGCATATTTAGAGAGTCTGGAAAAAAAAAAAATTTAAAAATGGGGCGACAGGCAACCCAGGTGTATCCAAAACAGGCTACTTCAAAGTGCTACTAGCCTATATTTCAGCAGTTGTAGGCCACAGGAAACTAGGACGTCATGTGATTGGCAGTAAAACTTCATGCATTTCTAATTATGGTAGAAACAAGATTAAAGCCATTACAAACAAATTCTCTGGAGGAAAACCTATGAAAGATATAAAATGATCAATGGCTATTGGTTGGCACTAACGTTGTACTGCTATAGGCCATCATAACAAAAAGGCCAAGGCCATCAGCTAACAGCATTAAACCCTAGCTGTGGTTTGAGTGTTGAGGCTCAAGTAGCTGACAAGAGCAGATTCAAACATTTGCAATAGTGGTATTGTTATAGTAAAGACCAATAAGAGTGTGCAGTGCCAAATGTCTAATTGTAGATGCATGACAACCCACACAGTGATTTATTTTTGTATCTGAAGTCCTTTTGTAGCATATTTAAAACCCAACTGAAAGCTAAATGTATGTTGGCCACATATTAGGGCTACATGTTTTACTTACAGTTCCTTAATTGTCAGTGAATGAAGTTTATTTGTGTCAACTGGACAAAGAGGAATACACCTTTTATTCCTAGAAAAGGTAGCTTTAATAAGATCATACTGGTGAATGTAATGCAGCTTTAAACTGCCGACCATATAACATCAGCTGAACATCTTCTCCATTATGTTCTGAGAGATAAAAGCAAACATCAATAAGAGGGATGCTATTACCAGTTATCTATGGAATATCTGGGTTTGACTAATTCATCCGTCATATCCAGTAAAGACAAGCTGTTTCCATTCATAAAAATTACACTGGCCTCTTGTGTCTTAAAGTAATCTGTGCCTATGAATGTAACAAACAGCCACTGTGGTGAAGGAGGAGGGTAACATCCAGAGTAAAAACAACAACACTTGTTTTCCTCTTCCAAAACCAGAAAACGTAATAAAAGCGCTAACTGATAAATGTCCTGATGTCCAAAGACAACAAAGCAGTTTTTCTAGAGGATGTCAATATGTTTAGTTGTCAGAATAGAGCATTTTTTAAGGCTGAATCACAGCTGTGGCTACAGAAAACACATTTTTTTCACTTGATGATGGTCTGAAATGCTTTGCCTTGGCAATGAGGCTTCCTCGGCAACTGGGCTGGATGCATTGACAACAATAAACCCCATTGACTCACTATACAGATTTTGCATGCTTTGGCACTGACTGCAGCCAGTCATACTGTTTGTGTCTGTGAAAAGTTGCTTTCTCACCAGTTCCGCCACAAAAGCACCTCTGTGTATTCTGACCGATGTCTCTGTCGGCTCAGCTGTCTACACAGGCGTTTTACTGCTTTACTGTATCTTGAGTTAGCCGTCATACACAGCATGTCAGCGGTGGCTTTTCTCCAAAAACGACACAACTGTTCAAACATATGGGATCACAGTTCCCCCCCTTTTCCTCTTAAGGGACAGGGACGTGTCAACAATTTGAGGGGAAACAGTGAGGTCACCGGTTCCGCTGTGCTTTTAAAGAGAATACACGAAGCTAAACATCTGACCCTGCCAGGAATCACATAATTGACTACCAATAATAACTGAGTTAATATTTACAGAAAGAGACAGCAACTGAATACATATGATATACCGCGATTGAATGCATACGTTGGTAGGCACACGTGTGAGCGTTACCTCAACACCATGGCTGACACAGGTGGTTTAATGTGCTTAAATCATTGCTCTCATTCACACCAGGGCCTCAGCAACCATTGTATAGAGTGGTTTAAGAGCTTATAGTCTGAACACCTAAAAATAGATAGGCAAGCTGGCGTCTTCTGTGCTTTAGCTTGCTAGCTCGCTAGCCAACACACAGCCAGGGCTCTTGGATTCATAGCGCGGTTTTGGGTAATTAGCTACATGCTTGTAGAATACTAGAAATGTTTTCATATGTATTAGTAACCTTAATATCAACTAACGCGAGATCACAGCAGCGCAAACCGATATTAAGGTTAGCTTCTTTGCCAATTACATTGGGTCGGGATTCACGATAACGGGAGAGGGTTTTGTCGACAACTGATACAATGTTTCAGCACAAGGCCAGTGAGCAGCACTAGTTAACGCTAGTTTACACTACGTTAGGCGATAGATTAAACGTCAAGAAGTAGTCTGTCAAAAAGCGAAGACGTAGAGAAATTTAGCGAAACATAATACAACGGTGAGTTTTTTTTACTCAGTTAGTGCTACAGCATTAACTAACTGTTACTTTACCACGACTTGGAGCCACAGTGTTAAGTGACCAAACACATACACAAGGAGGGCTCAGCGGATCGCTTTGTCTTCTTTCGATAAATGAGTAGTACATATGAGTGTAATGTATGTACCTTGCTGTGGAAATGTTGAAGGACTTCTCTTCAAATAGTAGTGGCGATCACCGCAATGTGGCTCACGTCCCTCTGTGGGTCTCTCCGGTGTTTTCATGGGTAGGCGGTGTGAATGGAGAATCTGGGAGTTCCCTACATACCGTCACCCGTGCTGCCTTCACGTACTAGCTGAAATGTTGTACTATACGAGACATATGAACGATACAAAAAGATGGAATGCGTCGCATGGGTTGCAACAACACAAACAAAACAACACTACGATGGACTTCACATTTCATGGCATATTTCTTGGTTTTTATTTAGGCAAAGGATGCGTGAGAAGACATGTTACCACCATGGGAGCTCTAAAGTTGTAGCACAGGAGGAGCATTTGAATGCAGCAACAGTGTTTAATGCATATCATTTAGCTTTTTAGATTAAAAAACATACTAAAGTACACTCTTTGTTGTGAGAGTTTTTAACCAAAGCAGAATGCAGTGGGGTTTGAACATGTGACCCCCTGAACACCAAGGCTCTATCCACTGCGCCAGGGCTGGGGAACAGTATTGCGAGGGGGGGCAAGAAACGAGAAGAAGGGGGAAGAAGAAAAAGAGGGAGAAAGAGAGGAAAAAGAGAAAAAGAGGAGAAAAAAACGATTCTCTTGCTCCCTGTTTCCCTTCTGTAGCATGTAAAAGTATTTATATACAGAAGTACTTTAATAAAGACCAACAACGTATGCGTTTGTTGACTAATAACACTTGTGTTATGCAGTTAACCATTAACACATTTCTATTAAATATTATATATTTCTAATAAATATTAAGTAAAACGTATCTACTTCTTTCAAGTTTATTACATACAATTATTATTATTTTCTTTATCAGGGATAGTTTTGAAGTAACCAATATGGACCTGTATTGAAGCTCATGGTTTGTGTGCTGTGGATAAATAATTAAATGTAACCATTACATTTAATATGAACTAAGAAGGTATTGGTGTTATAATGTATTTCTTTTAACAAACAAAGAGAAAACCTATAGAAATTCTAAACATAGCACTCCACTCAATTATTGGACAGTCACGTACTTGATAGAACCAAACCTTTATTTTAAAGTAGTTCAACTTAATACAATGTAAAACAACCCATACAAGTAAGTAAGGTGCAGTATAACAAAATAACACTCTAAATGAGTTTTAACATAAAATAAACATTATCATAAACTTAATAAAATATATACATATCATATATATATAAATAAATATCAAACTATACACCGAACTATATACATAAATAAGTGTCCAGTGTCCATGCCTCTGGTGGGGGGGATATACATGTTGTTATGTCCTCCAACCATGGCACAATGTAGTTCACTACTCCCTGTACTTTGCAGTGTCCAGTGTCCGCTGTCCCAAACCTCCCACACCTTCACACGTGTTGGGCAGTACTTTGTGGGTCAGTGTTTGGCTGTATGGAGCAGGAGCAGGACTAGGAGCAGGAAAAGCAGAGAGGCTGGCCTTCAGAGCCTGTGGAGCAGCGACCAGGACAGGACTCACTGGTGTATATATCATGGAGCCCAAAGGTGGAGCAGGGAAGAGCTGCAACACCACCTGAGGACCTGAGGGTGGAGCAGGGAACAGCTACATCTCCACCTGAGGGCCTGAGGGTGGAGCAGGGAACAGCTACATCTCCACCTGAGGGCCTGAGGGTGGAGCAGGGAACAGCTGCTCCACCTTGCTTTGATGCTTTGTGATCTGGAATGTGACAACAGCGAAGTTGAGGCATTTATTAGAAATGATCTATAGCAGTTCATGTTTCCAGATTTGTAACCGAACACATTTATAATAAAAACTAGTTTTTAATGCTATTGTTTATAAGAGAGTTTAACAAACATGGCAGAATCAAATACACCAGTCACGTTGTATACTGAACTTTTTTTGGTTGGCCCTCCAAATATTTAAGATGGGAACCCACATGGTGGAGGGTGGATGCTGGCCTTGGGATATGGGTCATGTGGGGAAGAGGATATCCCCGCCTGCCGTGACATGGACAGCACCCAGGAGACTGCTTTTGGGAGGATGGCTGCGGCCTCTGGGGGGCTCCCTGGCCAGACAACAAGGGAGGAGGCTGGGGGCCGTTGGAGGTCAAACTACTGGGGGGTAATATAGACATGTAGCATGAGGCATTTTCTTAATCGAAACTATCCATCTTATGTTTTTAGTCTGGAGTGAGTCAACCTCAGTTGTAAATCCTTTGAATTGACTAATTTTGCCGAGTAAATTTGTAAATGTTCATTAATATACTTGATCATATGTGGATTATAAGTAATAGGTTACACATGTTTTTACTTTTTAATTTCTGACAGAGGTCCCAACGCTCACTTCCCCCGTTTCCTTGGGAGCGGGTTTTCCCGATGCCCTGAGGCCAAAGCCCCCGTCTCCCATTCCGCAATCATCCCATTCTTTATGGCTATAGGTTTTACGTGATCATCTAAACTTGAAGTAAAAAGTAACCAGTGCAAGTGTTAGAGAGAATATCACGCCAAAGGAACACAACTGAACACCATGGTTAACCAATTAGTTGTATAAAGGTTGATCTACACATATAATCATGGGTATAAACACACATCAATGTTCCATAAACGGTGAAGGTTTATCCCTTTTTATCCATAATTGGCAGGTTGATATATGTATATTGAATTACAATAATGTAATGTTATACTACAGTATATAGCGCTATTTCAAAGTATATATTCACAATTACATGTAACCTTTCCGGTGAGCATATAACACAACTTTCATCATATTAGTGCGAGCACGAGCCCCCATATCTCACTATTAATATCATATAATGATATGTATACTTTAGCGGGTCTCGGGTATGAACACAATAAGACTGGTAAACACAGGTAAACTCCAGAAAACGCCAACCAGAAATCAAATAGGCCATCTTAAAACAAATCCTGGTAAAGTAACAAAGGTAAGCCTTATTAAACACATGTAGTGGAGGTAAAAGTTACACCATTTACTTTGATTGATAGTGGAGTACGAAGTTACACAGTAGGAAAAATGGAAACCACTCAAGTGAAAGTACAAGTTCTCAGAATTCCTACCTGGTAAGTACAGTACTATGAGTAAATGTTCTTTAGTTTAC